TGTTCGCATTTCAGCTCCAATAAGAATTCAACGAGCTCTATCGAATGTCGAAATCTAGTATCGGATATGATAAAGCATAGTTGGAAAACTTCCAAAGTAGTGACTTTGTCAGATGAGCTCCCCGCAACAAGAGTAGCAATTGCAGCACAGATTTTTTTATGGAACTGTTTGAAATGTTCTAATTTGTGTTTCAATTAGAATTCAATGTTCTCTATTGAATAGTGAAATGTGTTTCAGAATATCTTCAGCAATTCGTTTATAAGTTGGTAAGTGCCGGTTTTCCCCATGAATCTCAGAGAATCTTTGAAGTAATTCCGGCATCGCTTCATGCAGGAAGCTTTCGAGATGTTTTCATTTGGCCTAGAAGTGTATTTTGATGTTTTGTATCTACGAACTATGAGAAAAATGCCTGCAATACATTCTGGGCGCATCGATGGTGGAATTACTTCGTGGGTTTGCTGTGTTTTATGGAGAAACCCGATATTTTCCAACTTGTAAACAATTGATAAAAGATATAGCAAATCTGATTCCACCATTGAATAAAGCATGTCGAACTCTGGTTCGAACACAAATAGGGTATACGTGGAATGTTTGCGAGTCGAATTCAATGGTCGAATTAGTCCAAGAGTCCCTTTGGCCCATGTGAAAAGACAATATGTTTTCTAATTTTCAACGGGATGATTTATAATATCGTCCATCTGACTTCATCATTGGATATGGCATGTCGAACTCTACTTAGAGCCTAAATGATGGCGCCTGGAGCACTTCTTAACTAAATCGGTGTAGGATTCACTCGAATCATATGCAAAGGTCACTATCATATTCGGTAATTTATCAAGATAATCAACAATTCGATACACCAGAGAGCGCCAAAATATAAGTTTTGATATAAGAAAGAAATGAGTCATATTGATGTAGTTTTAAAAATAATCCCACATGGAAATGTTAACCTAAAAAGTTGTCTTTGTCTGTAATTGTGTACGAAAAAGCAATACTTGTGAATGTGAGTTATATTATCTGTTTTATTTTTTTGTAAACAAACTGAACATCAAGTTATTCGATGTGACATTGCATAAATCTCTTTTTTATGCATAATAGTTTTCTCTATTTCTGTCTCTCTGGTTATATCTAGGCTACTTTATTGAGAATAATTCAATTAAAATCATTGCGTTTTTCAATATTCTTCTTCAAGTCCATCGCCATCAGTTATATTCGTATTGATAACTGTATCCGACGTTGCAATAGATGAACTATCTACTTCTGTTTGCGCTTTATCACTTGGATTAACTGTTTTAGGTACACGACAAAATAGAAGTGCTATAACGACACCTAAACCACTGAGTCCAACACCAGCATATAATGCATGTCGATAACCTTCCAATGTAGTCTTTCCTTTTTTAAGCATTTCACTTTCAATTGTTCCAGCGATACCCAAACCTAATGAAATAGACCAATTAATGGCCGTATTAAGCATACTTGCTGCTACACCTTGTTGATGCATAGGCATTCTATTGCTTATTACTAATGATGCAGCAGGAAAGCTTATATCCATTCCAAATGGAGTCAATATTGTAGCTATAAATACTTGCGTCCAATATGTTTGATTAACAGGTGCTGTAGCAATAAGAATATTACCAATACAAAAGAAAATCATTGATGCCATAAGTAGATGATGAGCAGGTACACGACCATAGAGTTGAGAAACAGTTATCGTAGCGATAACGCCAAAAATTACAAGCGGTGTCAACATGACTGTTGTTAATAATGGTGATACATTACGAATAATTTCGAGGAATTGAACGATATAATAAATAAATATACCAAAACTTGACCAACCCAAAGACATACATACAAGAACACCTGGAAATCCAGCTACGGACCAAATCGATAATGGCATGATTGGTTCCTTCGTTTTCATTTCAATGAAAACAAAAAGTGCAATGACCAAAATACTACCAATAAATATACCATAAACATATGGTTTATCCCAACCTGCAATAGGTCCTTGATTCCAACAGTATATAAACAGAACAAGACCCGATACTCCAATAATCGCGCCAAGAACATCAGTTTTACCAGTTGGATGAACAGCTGATGATAATTCAGTTGGAACTACAATATAAGTCAAGATAGCAAGTATATAACAAAAAACTGCTAATGCCCATTGTGCCCATGGCCACCATACAAATTGAGCAAATATGCTTCCAAACAGAGCACCTAAAATAAATCCAGCAGGTGCTGTTGCTCCAAAAATTGAAAAAACTATAGATTTTCTTAGACCAACTGGATATGCTCTAGCAAGTAATGCAACAGCATTGGGTAGAAGCATAGTTGGACCTATTCCTTGAAATGCTCGCATTACATGAAAATAAATACCACTATTCATATATCCAGCCATACCAGTTAGAAGACTAAATATAGCAAACATCAAATATCCAAGTATAACTAATAATTTATGTCCAAAAATATCACCTAATCGTCCTGTAATCATTATAAAAACACCAACTGTTAAAGAATATGCAGCCAATGTCCAAGGTAATTCAGCAACATTCATTATACCAATAGCCGGACCAATAATATGAAGTGGAACAAGTACATTTCCTAGTGCAGCTTGTGTAAGTAATTGAGCACAAGATAAAACACTTACGTAGAGTATTTCATGAGGAAGATTATACAAACAAGAAGGACGTTTATCTAAACTCATTAGTTTTCTTATTTGTTAGTGAAGTAGACCGATTAAATCAAGAAAAAACAAAAGCACTCTTACTTATTTTTTTCTCTTTCGTAACCAAATGATATTTTAGGTTATCTTCATCGTCATCATTTCAACACACATTTTAATACACTGTTATCATTTTTCTCAATAGTTACCACAACTACGTTTGCACAGAAAAAGAACTACATCACCATTTTTATGTAGTTTTTATTAAAATTGTTTGCACTCTTTGAATAGCTTATATACACAATGAGTACTAAAAGCTGTTCAACAAGGTTTATGTCAATTTTTTTCCACTGTCATAAGCATTAGAAAAAAATTCAAAGGCTCCAGAAAACCAAAAAGTTAGTTTTTCTGTGCCTAGAATGGAAAAGTATGACTTTATTTTGACTATATAGAACAGTAGAACAAACAATTCTTTACAGAATAACACATTGTCGAGCTTTCTACGAAGTTTTTCACGAACAATTTGATTGAAGATCTATTGAAATCTCCATCTTTGCAAATGGGATAATAATTTTTATTTCCTTATGTTCCTTTGGAAAACATATCTCTTTATTTCAATCACTATTTGGATTCTTTCTACCACTTACGGCGGCGAAAAACAAAAGTTAAAAATAAGCTATGTTGAATGATTTTGGTACCCACTGTAAACCAATTGTTAATAATCTCAATGAAACTTTCCAGTAACCGATGATAATTTCCATTAGAAATCCTTTATATAAAACTGACTGCAATTAAATAACTATCGAATTTTATTTTATTATTATCTTTTTTATGAATATATATATAAATAACATATTTAGCAAATAATTGAATACAATTACCATTAAATATAGGAAAAAAAAATAACAAGTACCCAAATAAATATCATAAAATAAATTTAAATAGAATGTAAAAATTGTACAAATTTTTTTTGCAATATTCTTTCAATTGGTTAGTTCTTTCACTACTGTCTCTATTTCAGCAGCTAATTTATCAGCTTCAATTTGTGTTGTTGCTTCAGCATAAACACGTACAATATCTTCTGTACCCGATGGTCTTTAACAGAAAAAAAGAACAAATAATCGATGAAATTTTACATAATGATTTTCTTACCGAACAAATGCACGACCCGATGGATATTTTGAAACAAGTTCATCTATACGATCTTGTAAAGGAGCAGGAGCAATACAACGACGTTCGGCATCTGTTGTTTGTATCAGAGTTCGATCTTTAACAGCTACTTTTAATTGTCGTTGTGGTAAATCATTATATAAATGTAACCATTTTTCAAGATTTAAATTCAACACAAAAAGAATAGCCTCTGTTGCAAGTAAATCAGCTATAGCATCACCAATCGTTTCATTAATTAAATTAATAAATGTACGAATTTGATTGGCCGCTAAACGTTCTTTCACTGTGCGTCTAATTTCAAGTAAAAAACCAAACAACTATAAAAGAATTAGTTCATGTCATCAACTCACTTTGCATCTTCACTTGCCACTTTTACTTTACTCTTTAAATCATCACTGAAAAGTACCTAAAAAAAAAACTATATAATCATGAAACTTATTAACGAGGGAACTTTAACGCTAGGGCCAAAATACTCGATAATGTCAACTATCGCTTAACAACAGTCAGGAATAGCCGAAGTTGTTGAGTATTTTGGTGCTATCATCATGATTTATTGAGTAAATTTGAATCCTTTTTTGTTTAAAATGTTCAGCGCAATGAGCTCTACAAGGTTCTACAAACGAAAAGACCTTCCGAGAATCTTGCATTTTTTGCGGTTGAGTACCAATGAAAGTATCCGTCAAAAATTCACTTTGCAAACATTTTTCTGTTGGTAGATAGTTATGTCTTAGAATAAGAACAGTAAAAAAATTTGAAACATTCAAAAAAAACAAATATTCTCGTCAAGATTTATCTCTTATGCAAAAGTTCAAGTCGAAATTCGAAAACCAGTTTTAGTAAGGAAGACCATGACATACATTTAAAAAATACTATAGAAGTGCAGTATCTTTGCAGGAACAATCTAAGCACACGAACTCTTTTCATAGTATTCATGAATTATTTGGGTCTACGTAATGCACATAGTCTCAATTTAAAAGCGATTAATCAGTTAGAAGATTTTCCGCCCTAAAAACAAAAAAAACATCATACTGTTCCATGTCCATTGGCTTCAAAGTAAATGCCAATGTCATAATCAAGTGCTTTATGATGTAAATGTTTAACGCCAGTTGGTACACATGCTACAGGAACTTTCTAAATAAAATCTTATGTTATTATTATTATTATTATTGCTTTTAAATGTTCGTACCATTATATTAATAATATAATCTGTTGAACTGCCATTTGCATAAGCTGTTTGTACAACGCCAATCTTAACATCATCAAATAATTTAGCTTCTTGTAGTTTAAGTGAAAGAAATGATGCAAATAAAACAGAAAAGCGATCACCATCAAGTAGTCGAAATTGATTATTTTTATCAAGAAAAAAATAAATTAAACGATCAGCATCACCATCAATTGAACAACATTTTGGATAATTTTTTAATGGTAATCCATCAGGAGCTTTTTGATATATTTTAACATAATCAGCACCACACTAAATGAATTAAAAATAATTTTTTTAATAACTTTTTTGTTTTTTTTTACTTTATCATTTAAAAGACCTTTTGTACCATCATTAAAAATATCCATTCGAATAAAATTTGCTAATGTTCGACGTACTTTAGCTAATTTCATAGCACCAACACCATTTGCAGCATCAATAGCAAGTGGTTCAAAAGAATTATCACTTGGTGTCATCTAAATAAGTCAAATCAATAAAATCACAACACAAAGACAAAATACTATTGTATTACATGAATTAAATTTCGAAATGCTGTACACAATTTATTGAAATAATCAGCTTCAGTATATTTTCCATTGAGATCATCATCATTATAACAATGAATAGCATAATGAAGTTGTGGTGTTGTCATCAATTCTACTTAAGAAACATGATAAATATATATCACAAAAATTCACTTACCGAAATCCATAATAGTTGTATATAAAGCTTGTGCAGCTCGTTTGACGATATTTGCTAATAATGGACTACTTTGTCTAAACAATTATATATATATATATATATAAATAGAGAGAGAGATAACCTGTCGTGAGAAAGTCTTGGTACAAAATATTCACTCATTTTTCGCTCTTTCCGAATGTGTGTTCATAATTTCTGTCTAGGATAAAATTGAATGACTATCATCAGATTGCTTCAAAAGGTCCAAAATAGTGGTTGTACAGAAGATAGGTCACAATGGACTGAGCTAGACCGAAGCAAGCCGATTCACCACGTGGGTCACTCATCTAGCTGGATTAGATAAATTTTTAACAGATGAATGAGACAGCATGTTTCGAGTGTCAGTAATTGATATATGAATGAAATAGCGACTTTTTTTTTATTAATGCTGATTTCTATAGAAACGTATGGATGAGATTTTTCTGGTTGCAATACTACATTTTGTACAGAATTCAGTATTCTACAAAAGATCTGAGTTCGAGGCTGTTTCAAGACATGGTTTTGAACTTTTGAAAAAGATTCTTTCATAGTTGTTTAATTTTATCTTCGAAAAGAAAATCTGAATATATATTCGGAGATAGACTCTAACTGATTGCTTCTGACTCTAACCAGTTGTCTTTTAGTGATTGAAAAATAAGCGAATATTTTGCTCCTAGACTTTCGCACTACAGATTATGTTCCTATAGTTTTTGAAAAACTTGATTTAACAAACCGAGTATCATATGCAATGCCAATAATTGCTTCATCATTTAGTTGAATATTCAATTGAATCATTAATGTTTCTATATAACTCCATACGACATGTATATCATCACTAATGAAACCAGAAAAATCATATGATGTTTTTCTTTTATTAATTTAACTAACTCAAGTGTACATAAATCATTTGCATAAACTTCCCATGTTTGATCAAGCATTTCACCTTGTGGATCAATTAATTTAACACCATTATCACATTCAGGATTATGTGAAGCTGTTATCATTACACCCACACAAGCTATAATTAAAATTAAGAATTTCAAAAAAAACTAGAATCTCATTAAACGAAAAACAAAAACAAAAATTAACCTTGCTTCACTTTAGATCGAAGGGCAGCTAAAACACCAATTCGAATCATTATCCATGGAAGTGTATCAGCTCGAGCACGAAAACCAGCTGTGCCATAACCCATCAAAATACCAGTTGGCTTAGGATATTCATGTAAAAGACTTTTCAATTTTTCTGTAACAATATGCGTCATTGTTCTTTTTTTTTTCTCTTCTATTCAATAGATCAATGATCTGCAATATAAATAAATTCATCGTATAGTTATATTAGTTTCGATAATCTTTAAACTAACAAAGCTCAGTTGCTTTCATAATTCTATAAACTATTACATAACAGAAAAAAAAACGGAAGGATTAGTTCATGAAAGATCAAGAATAGCTTTATTTATTGAGAAGCAACATTAAATTTCATTGAATATTTAAAATTATTATCACCATTTATTCCAGCTTCAATTTGATCTCCTCTTTTAACTGGTCCAACACCAGCTGGTGTACCAGTTAAAATGAAATCTCCATGTTCAAGTGTTATATATTTCGATATATAAACAATTAAATCTGTAATTGAAAACATCATATCACGTGTATGACCATTTTGTCTCATTTGTCCATTAACACTAAGCCAAAGATTAACAGATGATGATACATCAAGTTTACTTTTATCAATAAAATCACCACATGGACATGATGTATCAAAACCTTTTGCAAGTAACCATGGATGACCTTGTTTTTTTAATTGATCTTGAATTTTTCGTGCAGTCATATCAAGTGCAAGACAATATCCACCAATATTTTGCTCAGCTTCATCTTTATTAACATTTTGACATTGCTTATCGATAATAACACCTAATTCAACTTCATGATGAAGTTCATCCCATTCTGATGGAATC